AGTACTGTCTTCTCTCAGCTGTGGGGTTTGTACTGGTTGCTGAGTATTTAGCCAGCAGTTCAGAACACTTCCAAGCATGGCTTCTTGCACTGTCCTCAAGCTCTCCTCCTCTCACAAGCTGATTTTCACTTTTCAGTGTTGGTGCATAATCCATTTGGGATGGATATTTACCAGAGCAGGTAAAACCACTTGGATGTATTTCCCAGGAGATCCCAGGGCAAAGGCTTGGTCAGAGCACTCTGCTCAGCTGTGTCACTGTTAATGATTGCTCCTTGTAATTAATCATTTGTCAGCTTCAGTGGCACCAAGGGGTCTTTGTGGGGATGCAGAGGTCACTGTAACCAGTTGGAAATATCCTTATGCTACTCTGGGCTCTCTTCAGGGTGAAAGGAAAATCTGACACTTTGAGCCTTTGAGATCTTGAACTTTCCTGCATGTTTTACTTTTCAGCTAGAAATTGTTTCACTTTTTTTTTTTTCCCCATTTAATTTCTCCTATGTTGAATTTTTTCATTCTAATGAATTGAATCTAAATGCTGTTGTTGGTTTTTTGTTTGGTTGGTTGGGTTTTTTTGTTGTTTTTTTTTTTAATTTAGATGCACCCAAAAATAATTAGTTATAGTTCTAAGCAAATGCTTTTGATGAGTTCAAACAGATTCCAGGTCCTTCTGTTTTCACTCAGCTCTCTTGTGAAATTGAATGTGTAATTTCACTTTCAGGACTGCAGAGATTTTACTGACTCTTTGAACTGTTGGTCACAGTCCACTACAACAAAAGCACTGATTTTTGCAGCAATTCTTTTGTCAGAAATCTGGGGAGAACCAACTTGATTTAGGGAAGGACACTGGTCCTGAGCCAGCAGCTCTGGTGGAATGGTTGGTTTGGGTATGAGGTGTTAATCCCAGTGGGGTTTGCAAGGAGGGGAGTGGCTTCATGGCAACATTAATTTTATTATATATTTATTTGATCTATATCTGATTCTGTTGGAGACTTTGGTCACCCCAGTGTCAGTCTGAAGTGCAGTCCCACAGCAGAGCTGTAACACCCAGTGCTGTTGTTCCTTCTGGGAAAGGAGAGGCACAGGAGGGAGAGACAAACCCTGATTCCTGTGTCCTGCTCAGGGCAGAGCTCCTGCAGGAAGGAGCTGAAAGAGCAAGTGCAGGCAGCCAAGGCATTAAAACAATGAATACCAAATACTCTGTGCCTTTCGTTTCTCTGGGATGTTCTGTTGTCCACCTTGGACTCTGCAGAATCCCAGAGGGGTGTCGAGATCATTAGCTGGTCAGAGTGACCCCAAAAAAAGTTGGAAAGTCTCTTTTCCCAGCCTGGGGCTTGAAGAAAGAGTCAGAGCTCTTCATTTCTCGGTCTCAAGGTTGTTTATTGTTTTTTATCTATGAAATTCTTTCTCTTATCCAGCTGAGGTTTGCTCAGCAGGTCAGACAGAGGCACTCTGCCTGCCCTCTGTTATATCTTTATAATAAAAACTACATATACAATATTTACAATTACTTTCCAATACCTATCACCTATGTTAGACAGTGAGCTTCTACTCTAAACCAATCTGTGAGTGCCACCATCACAGCAGGAGATGGAGGCCAAGAAGAAGAAGGAGAAAGGCTGGACATGCCCAGATCCCTCCATCTTGCCCCCCTAAATCTCCATTCTAAAAACCCCAAAATCTACTTTTTCACCTTGTCATAAATTCACTATCATTCTACTTAATTTGTCATGGCTTGCTGATCCTCATCTAAGGTTGGTAACTTGCTCCATGGGTCATAATCAAAACCACAGGGGCATTTTGGGCTGTGTGCCAGGGTCTTGGCTGCTCAGGACAGCCAGAGGGATATCCTGGGTCCTGACAGAGGAGGAGATACAACACCTTTGTGATGGCTTGAAAAAAAAAATAAGCATTTCTGTCTTTCTAAGCTCCCTCAGTTTCCCTGTTGCAGGAAAGAGCAGGATTTTGGTAAGAGGATTGCTGGGTGCAGGAATGGGCTGCTCTCTGCACAGCTCAGTCTGCAGGGATGGGAAGTCTGGGTGCTCTGGGAACAGCTTTGCTGTCACTGCAGCTTCAGCTGTCCTTCATGTGATCTCAGGCATCTTCCCTGCTGTATTTTTAGAGCTGTTGTGCAAAGAAGATTAGCAAAGGACTTAATATCGATGTGGATATGGATTCTTTGTCAAATATGGCAGTGTTCCCCCTATTTAGGCAATGTGTCTGTGCTCGTGTCACAGTTATATCACCAGGCTGTGCCCTGCCATGTGCCTCTGCCCTGGCCTCTCTTCCTGCTCCAGATGTTGTTTAGCTGACTGAAAAAGTGCCTGCACTCAGTTTTGGTCTCAGTTTTGCTGGATCTAATGACAGTTTATTAGGGAGCCTGTTTCCAGCTGGATCAGCTCCATAGTTAGTGGAGAAAGAAGCAGCTGGGAGTTGAGATCCAGTGCTTTACCCTCAGATGGGAGCCACAGACACCCATTCAGTGGTGCTTTCAGACTGGCTCTTGTGGTCCCTCCATGGTGAAGAAAGAGTCAGAGCTCTTCATTTCTCGGTCTCAAGGTTGTTTATTGTTTTTTATCTATGAAATTCTTTCTCTTGTCCAGCTGGGGTCTGCTCAGCAGGTCAGACAGAGGCACTGCCTGCCCCCGGGGTAGTGAAGCTACCCAGGTGAAGCTGTTCAGGGTCCTGGTCCCACTAGAACAGCTCTTGTTTGTCTGGAAATTCCATCAAATGTTCCTGGCACAGCTGCACCCCTGAAAGGGCAGAATCACAGAATAATTTGGGTGGGAAGAGAGCTTAAAAGCCCATCCAGTCCCACCCACACCCTGCCATGGGCAGCATCACCTTTTGCTGTCCCAGGCTGCTCCAACCCTGCCCAGCCTGGCCTTGGGCACTGCCAGGGATCCAGGGGCAGCCCCAGCTGCTCTGGGCACCCTGTGCCAGGGCCTGCCCACCCTCACAGGGAACAATTTCTTCCTAACATCTGATTTAAGTGTGTCCTCTTTTAGTTTAAGACCCTTTCCCACTGTCCTATCAAACTGTCCACCTTGCTGTGGAGTTCATTGAGGCAGCATTCTCTCAGGGAAGGGCTTTCAGTGACACTTCTTGCAGCTGTGTTGAGGGCACAGCTATGGAGTGATGTGGGACAAACTGCCCAAAACCAGTTGCTAAATATTCTGGTATCCCTGTGACCTCTGAGGTGTTCTCAGCATGCACTGCCCAAGCACTCAGGACTCAGTAACTCAGAATGGGTGGCCTGGGGAGATATTTTGTGTGTGACAGAAGAGACCAGCAAGGTGCAGGCTTTGGCCTCAGGGTAGCCCTGGGTGGTGGTTTGGAGTGTGGAGGGTTGGGACAGGGCAGGTGGAAGCACAAATGGGAGGTGTTGGCTGTGCCTGAGCAGATGAATGGGCAGGTGAGGAGGAGATGAATGGGCAGGAGAGCAGGTACTGAGGTGTGCAGGTGGGCCTGGAGCAAAGGGCACCAGGAGAGGATGGCTGGGAGTGTCCTGTGGCAATTCCTGACACAGATCCATGAGCTCCCATCCTAACAAATTCAGCTGCACAAAGCAGTGAGTGCTTCTCTTGGCTGGAGCCAGGGGGCTCTGTGTTGGAAACTGTTGGAAACAGTCACTTAGCACGGGAATTTTGGATTTATCTGAACTGGATTTGTTATTGCTGTGATGAGGAGTGATAAGCACAGGTAGAAGAACATGGGAAGAGTTCTCTGGGAAGTGTGGCAAAGCAAGCAGGACCTCGCTGAGGGACTGGGAGAGCTTCAAACCTGCGTGCTCTGTTCTGGCCAGGACTCCAGCTGGCAGCTGCCTGCACTTCCCTCCTGATACTGGAGCAACATGATAATCTGAAATAGCTCCTTTCCCGTCCAGAGGTCTGGGAGCAGATCTGGAATGTGTCCTTAAGTGCCTGGGCTATTTTGGGAGCAGGGACATGAATCTGTGCAGGGACATCCAGGCGTTGCATGGCTGTGTTAATGGGGAGCTGACAGCCCAGCCCAGCTCCAGCACATCACTGTTTGCTTTTGGGCCAGAGAACTCATGGATGCTTTTATTTTTCTGTGCTGTACAAAATGGTGGTGTCTTCTGGAGGGTGGGAAGATGACAGCAGTTCCTGGAGGAATTGCTTTGGAAAGATGGCAGAAACATCTTAGGATGGAAATGTGGAGCTCTGAGTGGAAGGAGAGCACAGGTTTTCTTCCTGGAGCAGCTGCACTGGAGTTCTGGGCAGCTTGTGCAGCTCCCACATATCTGCAACAGCAGCACAACATGCAAGAGGCTTTTCAGAAATCCAAGGAAAACATTCCATCCTGCAAACATCTTAGAATATAGTAAGAGATGAAGTCAGTGAAGGAGCAGGAGCAGTAGGTGCTGCTCATGCAAGTTAACTTCTCTGCAAGTGCCAGGGAAGAGTGGATTGCTGCTAGAGCTGCTCAAGAAGCTTTGGAGAAAGGGCTTTTCACAGGGATGTGCTGATAGAACAGGGAACATTTCAGAGCCAGGACAGAGTTGGTTTAGAAATGGATAAATTGAGGCAAAGTCAGTAGCCAATAATTGGTGGTCTTACCCTTGATAGTTTAGAGCAACAAGAACTGTTTGGCACATCACGTTTTAAGGCTTCATACAGACAGTATTGACCCAGAGATTATAACATTCCAGCCTTTAGCCAGCAGAAATCAGCAGAGCTCTGTTTGCTTTTGCCAGTTAGGAGCTTCTGATGTTGAAGTGATGATTCCCTTCCTAGTATTCTTCAACAACAGGATTCTGTTTCTACTTCATGTGTGAAGGGAAAGTTATGTTGGGACATGTTTGGCTGGTGACTGACATGGTGCTGTCCCTGCTTGTACCTACTGTGCTTTAACTTCACCCTGAGAAAACTGAGGATAACTCCAGGGTTCTGTTTTGTTGGACTTTCACTGCAAGGGAATCAATTGAAGGAGTTAAAATTGATTTACCCAGCAGCTGAAATTTACTTTATTTTCACTTCTAGGCCTACGAGAAACGCTTTCCTACGTGCCCAGAGATCCCAGTGTTCCTGGGGAGTGAAATCCTGCACGAATCCCGGAGCGAGGACGGAGCCATCCACGTCATCGAGCGCAGCTGCAAGCTGAACGTGGACGCTCCCAGGCTGCTGAAGAAGGCAGGTGGAACCTGGGGAGCAGAGAGGCCTGCATCCTGTGGGCTGGCTCAGCTAGATAAAGGCTCCTAAAGCTACTCTTGCCTCTCAGTGTTTCCCCTGCTGTTCAGATTGCAGGGGTGGAGCACGTGTTCTTCATCCAGAGGAACACGGTGAACTGGAGGGAGCGGACGCTGCGCATCGAGGCCCACAACGAGACCTTTGCCAACAGGGTGGTGGTCAGGGAGACCTGCAGCTACTCAGTGAGAGCCCTGCTGGGGCTGCCTGTGCTGGGAGGGGGCAGCTGTGCACCCACACACGGGGGGAAGGTGCCTGGGTGGGTTTGAGCCCCCCTGCAACAATGGGGCTGGAAAGGCTGTTGGGTCCTGGGTGTGGGATTGTTCAGTTGCTTTGGAGAGACAGGACCAGGAGGAATGGCTTCCCACAGACAAATTGCACATTAGGAAGGAATTAATCCTTGTGAGGGTGGGCAGGCCCTGGCACAGGGTGCCCAGCACAGCTGTGGCTGCTCCTGGATCCCTGGCAGTGCCCAGGGCCAGGTAGGACAGGGCTTGGAGCAGCCTGGGATAGTGGAATTTCTTCCTGCCCATGGCAGGGGGTGGAACTATTTGGGTTTTAAGGTCTTGATGATCTTAAAGGTCTCTTCCAACCTAGTGATTCTGTGTGTCCATCCAAACCATTCTGTGCTTTCATAGGGCTTGAGAAACTCCTTCAGGTTGATTGTGATTCCCTGCCTGGAGTGAAAGTGGAAAACAGAATTGGTACTCCAGAACTGCTGGTGTTCCCTCAGTTTCTTTTTGATTGAAATTCAGGCTGAGAAAAACATCTAGAGCTTGGGCATGTCTGTAAATCTGGATGTCTAGAATTAAACCCTTATTGTTCGTTATTATATCTAGAATTAAACCCTTACTGTTCGTTATTATATCTAGAATTAAACCCTTACTGTTCATTATTATGAGGGCCTGAGCGAAGCCTGACAATTTATTTTGCCCACAAATAAGTGAAAGTTTTGGCACCTTGCTTGTCATTATTTTTGTGCTCTAAAGATGTGGAGGAAGGATTTGAGCCTTATTTGTGGCCAGGCTGTCTCCCTGTGTGGCTGTTTCTGTGCTGTTTCACTGCAATGCTGCTCTGAGGGCCCAGCCACCATGAAACAGCTCAGGTGTTTCTGGAAGCAATCAGATCCTGCTTGTCTTTCCTTACACTAATGTCCAGCTCCTGTTACCTACCTGCCCTTTTGGCAACTGGACAGCAGCTCAGCTTCTTCTGACTAAACAGGCTGTGAGGAGCTTCAGGAAGAGGAGGAGTGGAAAAGCTGTGAACATTTTGGATGGTGAGGGTGTTCTGGGCCAGAGATCCCTTGGTGGCTGCAGAAGGCCACCTAAAAACTGCCAAAAAACATCCTAAAAACTGCTGTAAATTAAACTTCCATCATTATCAAAGGCACTGATAGGTCTGAAATGCTCCCAGGTCAGCTCTGAGATTGTTACACTTGCTGATTTTGGCTGTGTCCTTAGGAAGGAAACGTCAGCATCTGGGCTTTGAGGGGAACAGGGTGGGAGCTGCTGGCTGCATCCTCAAGATGGTTCCCTGCTCTATTTTTACCAGTTCCCTTTTCCCTGCCAGAGTGCACCGGAAGCAGGTTTATTCTCATCTTTCCTTCTCTGCAGCCTTCTCTGAGGCAACTTGGAGAAATATGATCCTGCTCCTGCAGTTACTTAATATCTCCCCGGGGAATTTGTCTTTTATGGTATCTCTGTGTGGGGGCTGGAGTTGTTTTTCTTTCCTGTCAGTTTGTGAACAGCAGCACCTGCAGAGAGGAGGCAGAGCCTTCTCAGGAAAGGGTTAAGTTTGAAAGAGGGAAGGATTCTGTCATATTTAGAGCAGCAGAGGGGAAATGAGGGAAAGGTGTGTGTTGAGCTGGAGAGTGGGGAATCTCCCTGCTCTGCCATGTCCCCAGTGTTTTGGGGAGAAGGCTGATGTTAGTGGCTGAGTCTCCCATTAAAAACTAAAAAAGAAACCTGGTTTGCATTTTTCTTCTTTGCAGGTGTAAGAGTTTTAATTGCATGTTCCACAAGGCCATCTCTGCCTTTCCATAAGGAGACTTTGATATGAATGCTTGATGTGGGCAGTTCCACTGCTCCTTTTGTCAGTTCAGGTCTGCTGAGGCAGGGGTGGGTTTAAATCTTGATTTCCTTGTGCATGTGAAGATTGTTGGGTTAGCAAAAGTCTGGATGTCCAGTTCACAAAGGGTTCTCACAACAGGAATGAACCTGGCTGGTGACTCCAGGTGTGGCAGTGCCTCCTCTGCCCCCTCTCTGTGGTGCCAGGGCCATGAGCCCTCTGCCCCCATCCCTCCTGTGTGTTGTGTTCCCCTGGCTGCAGGTTCACCCTGAGAATGAGGACTGGACCTGCTTTGAGCAGTCAGCCTCCCTTGACATCAAATCCTTTTTTGGCTTTGAAAGCACCGTGGAAAAAATTGCCATGAAGCAGTACACCTCCAACATCAA